TTGAAAATGATTGTTTCGTATTTTTCAAATTGCAATTATTGCGGTAAAATGCGGATGATGGAGATGGAACTGAAGAATATGAAGTCAAGGGAGAAGGTATTTCGTTGTCATGTCTGTGCTCTTCGTGACCATCCCATCCACTGGAATTCCTGTTGGCTCGATAGTGCTGATGATGATGATCAGAAGCTTTTTAACAGTGCTGGTGATGCTCATGATCAAGAAGCTTCTATCGGTCGGCCTCTTTTCCTAGTCGTCATGCTCCATACTATGAGATATGAGTGAAGAAACTCCACACCATGAAATATGAAGGAAGAAACGTATATACTTTTACGAACTCGTAGTTACTTGGATCTTGCCATATATATGGTTACTTATAGGTAAAAAAAATCGTGCATTAAAAAAGAAAATGTTAGTGTGGTAATTTAATGCTTCAAAATCATGCTATTAATCGATGTACTAATTTAATGCTTCAAAATCGTGCACTAAACAGTGTGTACTTACAGCATTCATTTTTTATTTATTTATAATGTTTGGTAATTTAATGCTTCAAAATCGTGCATTAAAAAAAGAAAGAAAAAAAAAAAAGAGTTTCTTTAGACCATTATAAATAGGAGTGGACCATCCATTCTTACGTTGCTCATTCTTACATTCTCTCCCCCCTCTCCAACCTCCATTTTCTCTCTATCCTCCACCTATCCCTTCTTTGTATTACAGACATAGAAAATGTTTTCCACAGTCTTTCCTATGTTTTTCATAGTGCTTCATTTCACTTGCAAGGTTTTCAAGGAAAGTGAAGTCCAAGTATTTAACTTGTTTTTCAAAGTGTGTCACTTCACCTGCAAAGTTTTTGAGAAAATGAAACCCACAGTGTTTCACATGGTTTTCATAGTGTTATGCTTCTCCAACGAAGTTTTCAGGAAATTGAAGTTCAAAGTGTTTTAAGTTTTTTAAGGAACAACAATTAGATTTTTACCGTGCTGCCTTCAATGTCCTGCTAGAATTTGCAAGTGCCACAATGGAACAAGTTGGAAATGAAAAAAAATATAATATACTCTTTCGTGGGGCTTGGTTTTGCAGTGGTTGCATTTACTTTTGCAATTGTAGAAGTTGAAAAGCTGAAGAAAAACAAAAAGCCTATTACATTTTAAAAGTTTTTGGTTTTATTTCTACTTTAGGCCAGCTTATGGCATCTATTTTGGAAATAATACTTATTCTACATAAAAAAGAGTGGAGGCTTACGTTTTCCATCTTCTCAGCTATGTTTGCCATGTCTACACATGCTTTCAATGTTTTCTCAAAAATGATTGTTTCGTATTTTGTAAATTGCGGTTATTACTATAAATTGCGGATGATGGAGGTGGAATTGAAGAATATGAAGTCAAAGGAGAAGGTATTTAGTTGTCATTTCTGTGCTCTTCATGACCATCCCAACCGCTGGAATTCCTATTTGCTCGATAGTGATCCCGATGATGATTAGAAGCTTTTTAATGGTGCTGGTGCTGCTTATGATCAAGAAGTTTCTATCGGTCTGCCTCTCTTACGTTGTCATCCTGCTCCATATCGTGAGATATGAGTGAAGAAACTCCATACCAAGAAATATGAAGGAAGAAACCTATATACTTTCGAAATTACTTGTATGTTGCCATGTATATGGTACTTATAGGTAAAAAAAATTGTGCATTAAAAAAAGAAGGTAGTTTAGTAATTTAATGCTTCAAAATCATGCTATTAATCGATATACTAATTTAATGCTTCAAAATCGTGCACTAGTTAGTGTGTATTTACAACATTAATAGTTTTTTTTTTTAAATAATGTCTGGTAATTTAATGCTTCAAAATCGTGCATTAAAAATAAAAATAAAAAAGGTAGGTTCTTTAGACCATTATAAATAGCAGTGGACCATCCATTCTTACGTTGCTCATTCTTACATTCTCTCCCTCTATCCAACCTCCATTTTCTCTCTATCCTTCACCTATCCCTTCTCTGTATTACAGACATAAAAAATGTTTTCCAAAGTCTTTCCTATGTTTTTCATGGTGCTTCACTTCACTTACGAGGTTTTCAAGGTAGTGGAGTCCAAAGTATTTTACCTATTTTTCAAAGTGTGTCATTTCACCTGCAAAGTTTTTGAGAAAATGAAACCCACAGTGTTTCACATGGTTTTCATAGTGTTATGCTTCACCAATAAAGTTTTCAGGAAATTGAAGTTCAAAGTGTTTAAGTTTTTTAAGTAACAACAATTAGATTTTTGTTGTGCTGCCTTTATTGTCCTGCTAGAATTCGCAAGTGCCACAATGAAACAAGTTGGAAATGAAAAAACATATAATATACTCTTATGTAGGGCTTGGTTTTGCGGTGGTTGCATTTACTTTTGCAATTGTACAAGTTGTAAGGCAGAAGAAAAACAAAATGCCTATTGCATTTTAGAAGTTTTTGGTTTTATTTCTACTTTAGGCCAGCTTATGGCATCTATTTTGGAAATAATACTTATTCTACATTAAAAAGAGTGCAGGCTTAAGTTTTCCATCTTCTCAGCTATGTTTGCCATGTCTACACTTGCTTTCAAGGTTTTCTCGAAAATGATTGTTTCGTGTTTTGTAAATTGCGATTATTACTGTAAAATGCGGATGATGGAGGTGGAATTGAAGAATATGAAGTCAAAGGAGAAGGTATTTAGTTGTCATGTCTGCGCTCTTCATGACCATTATAGCGATTCCGGGTTTTTACCCCTTGTTGTACAGTGATCTGGACTTGGTTCCGTGGATGTTGGTAGCTGTTTATATCTTGTTTACATCCTTTCGTACTTTGTATTTGAGTTATAGGATGTGTTAAGCGTGTTCTGAACAGGTGGGTTGAGTTTTAGTCTCAAATGTAGTTGCCCAAGTTTTTGGTGTTACGCTCGAGCGGATCATTCTGTGCTCGAGCGGAGTTTGGTTTTTGGTTGTCCGCTCAAGCGGGCCTTCTTGCGCTCGAGCGGGATTTACACACTCCCAGTATCTCGTGTCCTTGCAAAACTTCTACAGGTGTGTTTTTCACGCTCGAGCGGGTTTCCTACGCTCGAGCGGGTCGCGCTCGAGCGGGTATGTTGGCGCTCAAGCGGGTAGTGCTTTGTCTGTGAAAGTTCTGGGAGGGGGAAATCTACGCTCGAATGGACTGGTTTTTGCGCTTGAGCGGATGTATTTTATTCTTGTGTCTTGGAGCTCGAGCGGGCCTTCTTGCGCTCGAGCGTTCTATTCCCCGCTCGAGTGGAAGTGTCGTATATCAGTGGGCAGCTGGGCATTTTTGAATCACTTTTTACATTCACTCTCTCTCTCTCTTACTTTCTAAAAACACTTTTCAGAGCTTCTCTCTCTAGCCCTTCTCTCTAGGGTTTGATCTAGTTAGAGTGTTCTCCTATCCTTCGGCCTTTGTCAAAAGCGTGTTGATCGTTGAGGGCTTCGTTTTGATCCGAAAAGTTTGGGGTTTGGAACACTTTGGTTTTGGTCTTCTTCTCCATTTACTCCTCCTTATGAGCTTTGTCATTAAATTTCAACATTTTGATATGTTGGGGATTGTTGGGTAATTTTGAGAAAGTTTGGGTCTTTGTGTAATTTTACAAAAGATGGGGTTTTATTTATATAAGCCTATTTGCATGTTTCGCATGGAGAAATGAGATAAATGTTGGGTTATTGATAGAAATGGAACCTTAGGGTTGTGGGAAATGCCCTAATTACATTGATGAATTAATGTGTGAAATTAATTTTGAGAAATGAGAAGTTGGATTGAAAATGTTGAAATTGGGAACATATGGGATTAAAGGGTGTAGTTGGATCATTTATCACTCACCTTGTTGAAATGTTGATATTTTATCCATTTGGTGCATTTATTTTCTGTTTAGAAATAACTGCTTTGGGCTATCGGTGGAGGATAGTCTTGATTGTTATAGACAATGCATGATGATTAAGCGAACTAAAACTAATCGATTGAGTATGCTATCGAGTATAGCGGTTGGAATAATACATCAACTTTATGTATTGATTGATTGTGTATATGATCTATGTTTATATACATTGTGTGTGGGAGGAGATAGGGGATGTACTCCACGGTTTAGGAAAAGATAGGGGATGGACCTCTAAACCGGATTTCGTGTGACATTGATACAACACTACAATGTGTATCAAGTGTGGATTATGGAAGTGTTTGAATTGATTTGATATAGCACTAAAATTTATATCGTTATCAATTGTGAAGTATAGAAGTGTTTCTATGGGTTATTGATACAGCACCAAAATGTGTATCCATCATGAATTTCGAAAGTGTTTAAAGATGAGTCTTAATCTCATTAAGTCATTTGGCTAGATTCTAAGCCTTGTTTTCAAACTCAAAGTTGAATAAGAAATGGAAACTGAAGTGTGCCACGGGCATGATTGCTGTGAAACGGTAATACGACATACGTTGGAATACAAGTGTGGACCATCTATTGAATTCTATTATTTTAGTCATTGTTTATAGTTGGTTTAGTATATTTTTACTGGGTTGTGGCTCACCCTTTATGGGACATCATTTTCAGGTAGAGGTAGCATGCCACCTCCAAGGACATAGCTTGGGAGGCTAGAGACAGACAAACCAATCTAACCCACACTCAACAACATCTACATCAGTGAATGTCTGCTAATTCAATAATGTGAAACAAATATGACATTTCTTTCGGTCAGGTTTGAATAGAAAATAAATGAAAGACAGAAGAAAGAGAAAAACTATGAAAAATCAAGAAAAAAAAACTGGCATGAGAGAGAAAGAAAACAAAGTATTGTACTACATGGATAATTGGTAAAATGTTTGCACAACAAAGTAGTGTACTTCAAATTATCAGGACATGTCAGAAATCCAGAAGAATCTAAAAAAGAAAATAAGTCAACTACCACTGCTAGTGTAGACATTCGCAAAGAAGCTGAACATATATATTAGATTCTTAGAAACATGAAAGAGAAATTATATAAAAATGATAACGTGTACAGACCTTTCTAGCACCAGTGGCATCATCAATCACAGTGCAATTGATCTTCATTGAAACCTCTTGGCTTTCAGAATTAGAGTAACTAAAAGCAACCGCAGCAGAAGAAATATAAATTTATTTACTAATTCTAATAATGCATCAAAGGAAATCTACATATACTAAACAATTGGCACAGGCATTGCCATAGAGCAGAGTCATTAACAGTTACTTCTGCATATTTTCTTGGCAATCATTGATAGTTCCAAGGGATAGGCTATTCTTAAAATCTTACATGCATATTCCTCAATCATTGAACCTTCCACTCCTTTACAAACACAGAACAACAGTGTCCTTAGGTATTTCTTCTGCAATGCATCATAAACACCTACAAAAATTAAGAAACACAAACAGATTAAGAAGAGTGTAAGAACATTTGAGTGTACAAAAGTATCATATCAGCAAAATCTACATGCCTTTCTCCATCCAATCAATTAGTCTGCAAAACTTTGCATCCATTGGTGTAAGCTTTTTGATCTTCATCTCTGTTCATAATTTTAAGGCAGGAACAGACTTATCATTGAAATATTTCTCAGGAAAAAGGCCTCTTATGTAACTAATGTTAAAAATGGCAATGCGCAGAAAATTCCCTGTCTGTTTCAGACAAAACCATTAAAGAACATGAGATCAACACTGAATAAATTAACATCAATAAAGTTTTTGAAAATCCATTTTTGAAACATTAATGTCAACACAAAGATTGACCATTTTTATATAATTTTATGTTTGGGAGGCCATAAATAATTTTTTTAATATATTTTGATATTTATTTTTATTAAATTAGTTTCTACTTTTTCAAAAAAGAAATTGAATTTTTTTTTTTCTGAAAAAAAGAAAGAAAACAAACATGGTCGTATTTATGGATAGATTAGGTGAAATGTTTACCAAGGCATATGCGGGTATAAAAGTCATTTGACATTTTAACTAAATAGATTTGACTTGTGTTGATTTCAAGGAACATGGGGGGTGACAGTGTGATTTCAAACAAACAGAGGGGGTGTTGTAATTTACCCTAAAGATTGCTATGAAGGATAGTCATACACATGGATCATACTATCACTTTTTTGGGGAGATATCTCAAGTATATCCACTGTGACATCATACCATACTAAATATTTGATTCAGAAAGAACACACAGCAACAATGAAGAACAAGTTCCATCTCAGCACATTGGACAATCGAGGTTCCAATCGGTGTACATAATATCGATGCAAAATCTGAACCATACACTCAGATAACAATGCACAATGTACTATAAGTTTCAATGTATGAAGTTCATTAGAACAGAATGATGATGTGCTCCATCTATTCTGTGCACCTGTCTGTGTTACCATTCTCCCAAAAAAATAATTCATATGCACTACATATCCTTTCAGCTTTGCATCAAATTATATGAGAATTACTAAGGAATAGTTGTCAAATTGTATATGAATCGTGTATTATATCTTGCTATTTTTCTGTTTAATTCAGAAAATGTCACATTGAAAAAAAAAAAAATTACAACATTACACCAAAATCAAAAGTAGCGGACACAATAGAAGTATGTCTAAAGCTAACTCACAACTAAAGTCCAAAATGACACTTGCACCAGTAAAAGTAGCTAGCAACAATTACTTACATGAGAGACCAGCAGTAACACTAAGAATAAGAGATGAAAAACAAAGATCAGTAAAAGAGGCAATGTGTACAAAGGCCAGATTGATTGTTGCAGGCAGCAACAGGGAGAAAAACTGAGCAAAAGAAAAGAAGATGATGTTGGAGACAATAATCAGAATCCAGAGTATGTTCACTAATCACCACTGGATTTAATAAGCATGCTATCAACTGCACAACAATATAAATGCCTAATATCTAGAAGGTGTTAGAAAGTAACCGTATGCACATCTTTGTCCTTTAAAATGCTCATCTATGATAATGGAATCATACAAGTCTCTTCTCCAAAGCACTATGACCTGAAAGCACACATGACATGTCCATTCACAATATAGAACAAGAATAATATAACACTATAACAGAAAGAAGATAATGAAAAGAACCTGGATAACCCACTGTAGAAAAACACCAAGCGAAGCTCCATAAGATATAAGAATTCCACCTAAATAAAGCAGTAAACATTAACAAGAACATAGTTTGCAACTATATACAGCATTTAAACAGAGTCTCTTACATGCCAAATAACATATCACCAGTCTGGAAAGCATTTAATTGCCTTGCAAAAGCTTATGTAAAGCACTGTAATAATGATTAGATAGTAGTTACATTCACATTCTTGAGTGTTAACACAACAAGATTCTCTATCTACTAAGATCATTTTTCATATTTAAAATAAGAATTTGGAAGGTAAAATAGTGAGTAGCCAAAAATGTTGGAGGATAACTCGCACCAGCAATAATGAGCATGCTAGAGAAAACAAGGCTAACAGAGGGAAGGATGTTATTTCCTTCTGCACTGAGAGCAAGGATTAAACTTGGTTATTAGATCTTTGCACAAGAATTGCATAACCGCCAAAATTATTAACAAATCAAAATGCAATTACAGCATATAGTACTTGCCTCATATATCCAAAACCAAGACCAATAGGGCCAACAAGAACTATGCAGGGAATCATTATTTTCACCTGACAATGAAAAGAAAGCAAGCTAATCATAACAAAGTGTTGTGCGTTAGTTGGCTTATAATATGCAATTTCACAAAATTATTATCATAAAAATTACAGTTTAATTATGCAATTTCTTGGTTGGCTTATAATATAATTAACATCAAATTAAAATATGTTAAGAGGCATGTTGAATTAGCAACACAGATGGGCTACCACAGAAAATCCAGGCATGACCAAAGTTATTGGTTGCTCATAAGAAGTTAACATGTGCAAACTTATCCATTTCCCTCACAGTTTGTGATCTTATTATAAATGCCTAATATCATTATTATTTTATTTTATTTTGTTTAAAGAATGGTAGAAATGTATTGGGTGATACCATATTATGCTCATCTGCCACACAGAGTTTCACCAATAAATACAGAATTACAAGCTAAGCAGTGTAAGATTGGTCTTCCTTCAATCTCTTTCAACAATTTGTTCACAGAAACAGATTGTTTAAAATAATTATTTTTTTAAAAACAGAAATTGTTTCACCAATTTTGAACAAAAATTTCAACATAAATTATGCTATAAATCAACAAATCTGAAGCAATTAACAGAAGCAATCAAGCAATTTTTTTTAAAAAAAATTAGGCAATTTAAACAATTTCCAAGCAATCTAAAGCAAATAGATATGAAGAAAATTGAAGGGAATAAATACTTGGGGAAGGATGGAAAGAGAGAGAGTTGACTATTTGTGAAAACTGAATGGTTCATTGGTTACAAAGAGTGCAGTGCACGTGGTTGTAGACACCCCATTTTTGACCGACCTTAAGACTCAGACGTCACTGATTGAGCGCTTGGTGATGTTGCATAATGTGCTCGTTCAGAAGTTTCAGAGTCGCGGCTGTGAGCCCTGCCTCCGGGCTTCCGAACCCTTTTCTGTGCCTTGTCTCGGTTTGCGAACCAGACTCGGTTTTCTCTGTTTCTTTTCCTAAAGGGAGGGAGAGGTCTCGTAGACCATCTCTCAGTGGCCGTGGGCTACGTTTTGTGGTCGCAGGACATTTTGCCCATTTCGGAGTCCGGTTTTCGATTTTTCGGGACCGTTGGCCGTGTGCCTCGGTTCGGGACCGCTTAACCATCTCCGTTTGCTCTGTTTTTTTTGGCATACTTCTTATTTGCTCCCTTTTGAGGGACACTGCGGTCTGAGAAACCCACTTCGTGGCCGAACGCCACTTTCGGTGCTTAACAGCCCATTTTCGGGACCCCGAACTGCGCGTTTTGGCCCCCGAACTTTCGTTTTGCAACGGTTTTCGTTCATTCTTGGCAGGTACCTCTGTTTCATCACCAGGGAGGTCACTGAAGGGTGGGAGGCCAGTAATTTTTGCAGCAACCAATTATACATCCTCCGACGCCCTCCGGCGCCCGTTTTTCACACTTCCGGGCTAATGTTGAACACTTTGGGCCCATTTTCTTAAACTTTGAACCACATATTTGTGATGTACACACATGAGAGGACCCTAAAATTGGTGGCCGGCCAATAATTCCACCTGACCCTTTTGACCCCCTCCTTCCGGGCTAATGTTGAACACCCTAGGGGTAGTGTTGCCAACTTTCAACCACATATCTGCGATGTACACACCTGAGAGGCCCCTAAAAGTTGGTGGCCGGCCACTAA